AAGAAAAATAAAAAATGAAAATATCTTTGCCGCCGCGGGGGGGGGGGGGGGGGGGGGGACTAGGAGGGGAGAGTGAGCGAGAACGGGAGTCGGGGGGGTTGTGTGTGTGGATGTGGGCCCCAAAGAGGGGAGAGGATGGAGCCAGGAGAAGGAGAGGCCAGCGGACTGAGCTGGTGCCCCGAATTGAGCAAGGAGGGTGGCAACGGGCGTCCTTCCCTGTACGAATCTCGAGGTGAGCAACTTCGGCAGGACGGCTCCATCCGCCCATCTCATCCTGCAGCTCAGGGGGACCAGAGAAAGTTTTAAGAGACTGGGGCTCCTTCTCCGAACGATTGGTCCCAGGATGCCTGGCGGGGGGACAGGGCAGCTGAATCAGTACACCCTCCATAGCTGCAATCTCTGCTTCGAGGGGATCTGGGGCTCCTTCCCTGCTTCTCGGCCAGAACGCGCTTCCTCCTAGCTACGGGGGGCACGAAGCTGCTTTTCAAGTGTTCAGGCTGAGCTAAATGCAAGTTAGCCCATCTCAGTCAGCTGGCAGAGCGATGGGCCACGGGTGGGGCAACCCTGTAGCCAGCCTGCGGGAGGCATGTGAGCGAAGATGCCGTTGCCTCCAGAGGCTGCCTGGGATTGGCTGGCTCGCATGGCACAGTCTCTGGCGGGGGCACCTCACAGGCAACTTCTCAAGCAGGGCACTGCCTGGAAGTGCCTGGAGTTCCTCCATCCTCAGCAAGTCCCACAATGAATGAAGGAGCAGCCCCTCGGGTCTCCATCTCTCCCAACCCTTAACGCTCAGGAATCTGGTCGTCCAGATTTTCCTTGGTGGAAGGTGTAAAAAGACCCGAGGGCTGGGAGGGCGGGCTTCATCTCAACTGACCGAAGAGGAGAGTTGGGAGATGCTGAACACAGATGCTCCAACTCCCTCCCCAAAAGCAAGCTCTTCTGCAGGTCATAATGTGGAGGAAGAGGAGACAATTGCGAGCTGGAGAACCCCATTTGATAGTCCCCTTCGCAGAATGTCACTTGAAGTACCTCTGCACGGCACCAAGCCACCCCAATTTTCTCTGCTTCCTGGTACCATAATCCAGGTTCCTCACTAGATGCAGAACCTCAGGATTAAAATTCTCCTGGATGCAGCTAAGCCAGGACACTGACAACCGCATAGATGGCTCATAAGCAGCCAGCTACAACTATTTTACCAGCTCGCCCCAATCCATAACAGAGCAAGTAAACATTCTGTTGAGTTTTCTTACATTTTTAAGGATTCTGTGATTGTGGAAGTAGGGAAAGTAGTGGAAATACCTAACGCAATGACCTCTGGTATAAGAACCGAGTTGTTTACGCAGGAACACCCCACTTTTAATCAGTGACATGTAGAAAATGCACACTCGTATCCCTAAACCCTATTTAAAAAACACACCTGCCAAAAAGAAGATTACAAGTTGACATTTATAGACATCATCTGAGAAAAACTGCCCATCAAGGTGCTCAGCGAAAGAGGACAAAGAAAAAGGATTTCTTATTCAGGGAGTTCCGAAATCTGGCATCACAACAGAAAAGAACCTGTCTCTCTTCGGAGAAAGCACAAGCATGGGCCATGTTCTCCCCACCCGAAATCGGCAGGCGAGAAGGACTATGTGGCCTAGACGAGAGACTGAACCAGGTCTTGGGAGGCGCTGTGCGAGGTGCCAAGACAGGGGTGCAGGAGAAGTGGAAGGTGGCACGGAGGAGGCCAAGGAGGCCCACCATTCAAGGGAGCCGTCTATGGAGGAAGGAAGACCGCCCCGAATGCCATTCCCTGGGCCTGCCTACGAATGAGCTGCAGAAGCAGGGAAGGAACTACTGCTGGGATCTCGGAAAGGAAAGTCCACCAGAGGAGCTCACGCACGGCCAGGCGATGATCTGACTCAACCGCTGGGCTGCCTCCAAGCAGCAGAATAGATCGGAGACAGGATCCCAGGCTGCAATCTTGAACAAGTGGGTCAAACATATGAAACCGGCCGTTCACTCACAAATCAGTTGCGATCTAGCTCAGTGTTCTCAACCTCAGCAACTTTGAGATGCGAGGACTCCAACTCCCAGACTTCCCCGGCCACTGGAATTCTGGGAGTTGGAGTCCACGCATCTTAACGTTGCTGAGGTTGAGAAACACTGAGCTAACCGGTGTGGAGTGTCAAGATTACGATCACAAAGAGATTTTTTAAATTTTTTATTTTAGTCATAGGATTTTGCCCTGAGAACCACTCCATGCATCACCGTGCAACAAACCTGGATTTGCTCCCAAGTCAACAGGGAACCAGAGACGGCCCCAGAAAGGTGCTGAGGAGAGCCTCCTGGCATCTGGCTGCCGTTTTGAAGAGCATTACTGACGAGGAATCAAGGCTTCTTTATTGGGCCACACGCAGCCAGGCATTTGAAGTCTTAAATCTGGCTTGTAATGCAGATTGGATTGTACTAATCATCAATATTCCTTTCTGAAAGACAGATATTTGTGCAGAAAAGCACCCCCTTGTGCTGGGGAAGATACAATAACATTTTAAAATTGCCAAAGAGCTGCCAAGCCTGTGCAGTGCCTACCCCAATGTTAAAAACAGGCTTTTTTTTTTTTTTTTTAAATAAGCAAAGGCTTTTTTAAAATCCCCGTCCTGGAGTGGACCAGCCACTGGTCAGAAATGTGCCCCTGCCCACTGCTGTACCAACACGAAACTGGCATCATCACCCCTGTAGGTAAGAAGCCCTAGATCAGAGTTGAGGGCAAACTGGGGGCGCCCCACCAAGCTGTGCTTCGAGACCTGGTTTCAGGATGCTCTCAGGAAGCAGGGGTGGGGCTCAAGCAGGCCAGAGGGGAGGGGACGGGATCCTGAGACGGACACTGGCTGGCAGGGAGGCCCACAGACCAACGGCAACACGCTTTCCACCTGCCCCAGATTCCCAGCCTGCTGATTCGCAGCTGGAAGGTTCACTGGGGCAGAGACAGCTGTGACGCTGGATTTCTCGGAATGCTCTTCCCCTCGCTGCCCGGAGGAAGAGGCCCTGGGGCTGGCCGTCTGGATGGCAAGGAGAACCGCCCAGCTGCACGGCCAACAGGAAAGCTTCGTTGGCTCCCGCTAATCCTAGGGCATAAAGCTTTTCCTGGGCCTTCTGTGCATCTGCAGGCTCGGAGGCAGGATTTTGCTCCCTGCGGTTCTGCGCCTTCCCTCACAGCCTCCCCCGTGCAGAGCCACATTTTGGGCCCCGATGCCCGACTTGCGCGAGATCGCAGAAGCCAGAAGTACTGCCGAATACGCTGGTTGGGGCAAACAGGCCTCTGTGCGCTCCCGGTCGGCAGAAGCGGAAGCTGACTGCTGAAACAGGCAAACATGGATTCACGGGAGCTGGTTTTTTGCAGTGCCGGGATGCTGCCAGGCTGCAGAATGCTGCTCTTCGTGATTCAGAAACATAACCCTGATGGCGCGTCTAGATCTAGGCAGAATCGCGCCCTTGACTTCTGAAGACAGCAAGCGGCCTCAGTGGCCAAAGTGACTAACCGGTAAAACATTTGCACTATGCAAACGGAGGGCAGGCTGCTTCAGGCCATCTCTTGCCCCCTCTGCAAAGGCCCAGAAGTATCTCCTTTCGGTGGTCTGATGGGCCAGGAAACCCGCAGCTCTACTGTGGTTCACCCCAAATCTCTACACCAACCATCACTGACCTCCCACTATTTGAGACAGGGTGCAGTGACGGGGGGGGGGGGCAGGGCTGACATTTGGCGGGGGGGCAGAGGCTCAATTAAATAGATGTGCTAAGTCTCGCAGAGGTATCACATACCTGTGTGGCTTACGGATGCATTAAGGAAAGCAAAAACCGTGCCACCAAACTGGGAGTTCTGCTGCCAACTTTCAGCGGTGCAATCTGGAGACTGCAGAAGAGGGGCGGGGCTGCAGACCTCTGCATCTGGGGGTGGCTGACCAACTCGCGCTGCATGCCTGCCCCCCTTTTGCACGTGGCTGCGGCTCAGAGCCCCAGGGAAAAGAGGGCCTGCTCAGCAGCCGTCTTCCCGCCTGGCCCCGGCTTCCGCTGCTGGGCATCTGTCTTCCGGGCACCTCCACTCCCAGCCTTGCTGCTCTGGGTCTCAATCCTGAACTGTCTCCGGCCAACCCTCCCGCCATTTAAAGAGCTCCTCACTCTACCTTCCACCGCTTTACGAAATCGTAGCCAGGCCCCCATCCGTGGGGAACGTTGGCCAGGATGGGGGCTGCCCAGCTCTGCAGTGGCTGCCAAGCAAAGGCAGAAGAGGCTGGTGCGGGCCTCTGCCTCCTCCAGCGCCAT